CCCCCTGGTGTTGCGCCCACCCCGCGCAAGTGCACACGGGGCGCGAGTGGTTGCCCGGAAGGTGTGACCCAGGCCGGCCCGGGCCGGACACGTAACCCGTAACCCTTCCCCTCGAGGTCCTGGAGGGGGAGGCCACGACGTGAGTTTCGTGTTGGTCAGTGACGGTCACTTGACTTCGCTCTTCTTTTGGTTTTTCTCTTTTTATTACCAGTCAAAATGATCCAGGATCATTTCTCATCAGCCCACAATTTTGAAAACCAATGTTAGTTTTCCAATCCACTGTATAAGCTAACATTTATTTTTCTTTTTGGAGTATTTTTTAAAAATATTGGACTGCGTTGATGGAGGCGGAGGAAGGTGTGAGTGTGAAAATGGCAGCTAGCGGAGGAGCCCGGGGGAATTCCTCGGCCTTTATGAGGCTGAACGGGGGGCGGAGCGGGCGGAGCGGGCCGCTCTCACGGAGGAGCGAGAGAGAGGGCGGCGCAGGGAGAGGGAGGAAGAAAGCACGCCAAACATTCCACATTATCATAATACATAATTGGCCTGCACGTCCTACGCGCTCTAGACGCCTCGGGAGGTAAAGGTGCGAGGATATAGAAAGAGGGCAGTCTTGTTATTATTTAGTTGAGGTATACGCCAATTTGACGTCAATTTCGCATTTGACGAATAGAAACACACCATCGCAGAATTGAAGCGTTGATTTTCCTTCACTTTTTGTTTAGACTTATTGTTTGGTTTATTTCTGTTTAAAATGCATTTTGCTGTGCATTCAGAACGGCGTGGGTGTCCCGCAGGCAGGTGTCACAACATTGACACGCTCCTGGATGGGGAACGAGAGGGTTTCGAACTGGCTGCTGCTTCTATACGGTCGAGGAGGATAGAGAGAGAGAAGAGAGAGGTGAGAGAAGAGGATGTAGGATCCCATAACTCGGTGGCCCGCCCAGCAGACAACGACAGCCAATGGAGTCGTAACAGGGATTTACATCCTGGTTTTGAGCGTGAAAAAAAATATTTCTTCCCGACTTACAAAAGCGGCAGTGTGTATTTTTTGTAGTTGTTTCTTTGCGGCCTACCTCGACAGTGTGTCACCGCCGCCGCCGCCGCAGCTCCTCCTTCGAGGACCTACTTTTTTTTCTTGCCTCTCTTAAGTCCTTTCACTTTTCACATTTCGTTTACAATTTATGTCCTCTCTGGCAGCTGGACTAGAGGGGAGGGGCGACGGGGGAGGGCGAGTGGTCAGCAGGAAAGAGTTGGAGGTGTCGTCAAGCCAGGCGGGCGGGCTAGGATGCACTCACTCACTCAGGCGAGGGGCGAGGCTGTGACTTTGGCTATCTCGCCGCTCAGCTCGTCGGACTCGTCGCGCACCGCATATCTCTTGAGCGCTATTGAGATTGCCATCTATCTCACCAGTCTCGCTGATTTGACGGGCGTGGCAGGGAGGAGGGGCGTCTTCGTGGGCGATAGATCTGTGGACAACCTGCGCCAGAGGTGACTTATTGACTTATAATAACAGCATAGAAAGTTGCACTAAACGCGAAACCCTCCGGTGAATACTCACCTTGACGCACAGTCGTGCTGCAGGGTTCATTGTGACTTCTGATGAAACTTTGGCGTAAGCTTTTAACACTCTACACGTGCCAACGACACTAAAATAGGGCGGGGTAAGTCTGGGTAACTTCAGGGTGGAGAGGACCAGGAAAAACTTACATTTTGGCACGCAAAAAAAGACATTTCGCAAAACAAAAAATGTTTGCTGTTGCAACCAAAATGTTTCGCTGCCGCAGTAAACAAATTCTTTCCCTGTTTTACGCAACGCCCATTTTTTGCGTGCGTCGTATGTAACTGCTTGTTTTACTTGAAAGACTTTTCCAGTAGCGCACGCTGCGGCTAAACTTGTGTTGGCGTACCGCCGCCCCTCCTCGCGCCGACTGTCGACCCCGCGCCTCGCCCTCGCCGCCGAGGCCGTGCAGGCCGTGCACCTGCCGGAGCCGCCTCTCTGCGCCGCGCCTGCCGCGCCCCGCGACGTCGCGTTTTGTTTGGGTCACGTCCGCCAGGCCCGCCGTCAGTCGTGGAGTGGAAGCAGTGCCATCGGTGTGCTGCAGTCCAAAAGCTTGGAGAAAACAGCAAGGATTATTGTATTTTTATTTTATGATTATCGCGAAGTGCGACGTGCGACGACACACTGCGAAAATTAACGAATAAGTGGAGTAGTTACTTACTAAAATGGGAATTTCTGGGGTTTAAAAATTCCCTTGAATTGAAGGGACTATTTTGTCAGTCGATGAACGAAGGCCTGCGCTTTAAAAAAAATCTAGGCTTCTCGTTTACTGTACGTCGGTAGTTGTTAACTTGCAGCAGGGAAAGAAAAGAAACGTTTTCCTAATAATGATCCTTTGACGACAGTTTTTTTATTACCCTCGGTTGTGTATGTGTGTGCTCCCTGTCGTTCTACTTTATATCAGTGATGGGAAAAATAAAGGAGGAGCACAAAAAGTATCTTCACTACTCGCTGCCGCTATCTTGTCGCCTGCCTCCCTCCCCTGCCCACACCGCAGGAGGACAGGGCCTTAATGTCTTAATAAGCACCACGTCATTTTTTTATGGCTCGCTTGCGGCGAAAAAGAAGAGGGGGAGTTGGACTCCTGGGTGCGGGTGTGGCAAGGGCAATTCTGCTACCTCGCGTCTGTTGTCTCTCTCTCCTCCCCCCTCTCTATCGGTCGCAGTAGTGTGCACAGTGTGTGGGTTAGACAGAGACAAGAGGCTGGCGGCGACTGGACCTGCTGCTGCACTGCTGGCTGCTGTCGTCGGACGCAGCCCGCCAGCCGTCGCATAGATCGCAGGGCGAGGTATTGGCATTGGGGTGTGGGTGTGCGTGGGCGCGCGCGTCCACCCGGCCCCGGTCCGGCCCGATACCAGCCCCCCTCCCCTCCCCGGTCATCAAAGTCTTCAATTATCGAGTGTCCCGCTTCCTGCGCCCGTTACTTTTCGCACGTTTTTTCCCCTTTGCTTTGCGCCGTCTTGTTTTTGTACACCTCCCTCCATCAGAGATCCCGCGCGTCACACAGACAGACCCAGACCGACAGCTGTCCGTCCGTCCATTCAAATCGAGCCCGCTGACCAAACCGTCGCGTGGTTTTTGTTTGTTTTTAGTGTGTGTGTGAATGGGCTGCATACGCCACGCCCTGGCGCGCGTTCGCGTGCGGTGAGAGTGCGACCGTGTTCTAATTGATCAGCCGTGTACCGCTGGCCAGCCCAGGCCAGCCCAGGCCGGGTGGGCGACTCGCTCGCCGCCGCCCTGCCTCTAACGCTCTGCGCACACCGCCAGAGACAGACGACTGTATTATCCGCACCTTCTTGCCTCCAGGGCCATGCAAATTTAGCATTTTTTATTTTTTTTAAAGGAATAGTTTTTTTTAGTGTGTACCTTGCGTTAATCGTCACAAGGCACAGAATCGACTTTTGATTCTACGTGGATTTCGGCATTGGAAAATATCCAATGGTTTTATTTTTTTGCCGTCCTTTCGCTCGCCCGGTGCCGGCGTGTGCTAGGAAGATATCAAGTTAGCGTTTTTTTGGAGCGTTCGGGCGTTGAGCGTTGGTGTGAGGCGTTACGCGTTTCTGAAAAGCGTTCAGGCGTTTTTCATGCGTGTTGCGAAGCGTTGTGCGAGATATGGTGCGATGGGAAAAGATATGATGTGAGATTTGAGATGAAATGAGCGAGCGGGCGGCTACACCCTCCACTGATCTCCAAGCTGACGTTCTCATACTTATCGTGATAAATAGCTCAAATATTTCTGTAAAAGGACATATGTCCATAGATAACCGATAGTTCATAGTGTTAAGAACTCCACATTCAATTCCACGCAATCCGTGTCCGGAAAAAGAGGGTTATTTCCTAAATACTTAGTTTAAATTCAGGGAGATTTGAAAATCGCGCCTGTTTTTCTCGGCTTGACCAGTAGGATGTAAATGCTCATTTCATCTCAAATCTCACACATGTCTCGATCGCATCTTATCTACGCATCATATCTCGCACAATAACGCTTCGCAACACGCGTGAAAAACGCCCGAACGCTTTTCAAAAACGCCCAACGCCTCACACGAACGCCCAACGCCCGAACGCCCAGAAAAACGCTAACTTGATATCTTCCTGGGCTGGGCCGCCAATGTGTCTCGCGGGTCCGCACCACCTCCTCCAGGCCAGAGCCCTGCTGCGCGTTGCTGGCGCGTTGCTGCGCGGCGAGGTCTTGGCGAGGTGCTCGTTCTGATTCACGGCACGTCCCGGTCGGTCGAGGCCCGCCCTTTGCTCTATAGCGGAATGGGAGATTTTAAAGCTATGCTTCCCGTAGAGGCGGCTGCGGCGCGGCGTAGGGCCGGGCAGGGCGTGGCGTAGCGTAGCGCGGGCCCGCGTCTTTGAAGCGGTAGGCCGTCTGTCAAACGTCCATGGTCCGTATACTCGCTCTGCGCGGGGCCGGCCCGGCTCCAGTTCAGCCAGCACCCTGCTGGGAGCCCCTGCGGCCGCGCTGGGTAGGCCGCCCCGCCGTGCAGCCGAGCGCTCCGGTCGCGATGTTGCCTACCCAGCCGCACACCGCGCGATGTTGCCTACCCAGCCGGGCGCTCGGCTCGGCGCTCCAGCGCTCACAAACCTCTCAAAGCCTCCCTTTGTTTTAGTGTCCTCGAATAACGTCCTGCTGCTATCACCTTTGCCTTTACAGCCCCCCTCTCCCCGTGCCCTCTCACGCGCCCCACCACCACGCCCCGCGCCGATGGGCCGACCATTGTGCAACGCCTGCAACAACATCTGGTGCGGCCCCCGTATAAGGCTGACCCGGGCTAGCGCCACTACACTGCCAAGAGGATGGGTGAAAGTTTTTGCTCGCGCAGGATGCAAGTGCTGTTCTTAATTACTGGTTCAACGCCCCCTCTTAAAAAATCCGCTCACTTAATAAAAATGGATTTCTGTTGTATCTTTTGTGATAGTTTTCTACTTGAATTCTCTCCTTTGTCATTCAAAAACTGTGCGTCTAACCTTGCATCCGTTTTTTCTGGTTTCAGGTCAAGCTAGAGCGAGTGCTTGGGCTCACTGTACCCAGCAATGCCGCCCTGGACTGCGACTCCAACTCGGAGCTCATCGCCTACCCGGCAGGGTGAGTCAAGAAAATATTTCTCATAAAAGTAGTATCACTACATTAAGAGTTTGTGGCGTACAAAGGATCTACCCAGTGAGAAATGAAATATCAGACCGATATCGAAACGATGTGGAATATCAGATATATGTCTGTTTCAGAATGTATCGATTGATGGTAAAATTGACAAATTATACCGTTCTGATATTAGTCCGATATTTAATTTCTCACTGGGTGGAACCACCATGTTACAAACAGATTTCTTTGTTACTGCAAAAAGCACCACTTTGTGAACAGAAACGTGCTCTTCGTATCACTAAGCCAAGACCCTTTGTAATACAAAGGATTTGTTTGTATAATGAAGGTGCCAAATTCTTTGTACGTTACCAAGAGCAGTTTTTTGAGAAACTTACAGCCGAGTGCCCACACTTATCGCAAAAAAAATGAACCAGATTTACTCAAGTATCGATTTTGCGCGACCTCGTTGTCCAAGCCCAGCCTTTTACTAACCGTAATTATTTTTTGTTTGTTTGCTTTTTTCGTCTCCAGATGCACCGTGGTCCTGTTTAACCCGCGCAAGAACAGGCAGTGCCATGTGCTGAACGCACCCCGGAAGACCATCACCTGCGTGGCGTTCAGCGCAGATGGCAGGTACCTGGCCACGGGCGAGTGCGGGCACGCGCCCAGCGTGCGCGTCTGGGACCTACACGACCTGCACGGCCAGGGTGCCCAGCAGGTTGCGGAGTTCCCCGGCCACAAATATGGCATCAACTGCGTGGTGAGTACATTCACTTTAGAAGGGAAAATGTTTTGGATGATTACTATACCTTTTCAACGTCAATGTTGTTAAACTGTTAAATTTTGCTAATTTTTGTGATAAAAATATTGGCAGAAAATATTGGATACAAGTTGAGTTGACTAAATTTACTGAGCTCCCACTTCTAATCTCTGTGCTTGCATTCTCAGGCATTTTCCCCCAGCCACAAGTATGTGGTCTCTGTGGGGTCCCAGCATGACATGATAGTGAATGTCTGGGACTGGAGGGCCAATATAAAGGTAGCATCTAACAAAGTGTCAAGCAAAGTGAAGGCTGTGTCTTTTGCTGAAAATGGAAACTACTTTGTGACTGTCGGAAACCGTCATGTCAAATTCTGGTACTTGGAATACTCCAGAGCTGCAAAGGTGAGAAAGAGAACTGTTTGGCAAGTTTTTATGTTTGAGTAGTGTTTTCAAAGTTAATATGCTCTATAATTGTAAACATTTTTTGTGCAGTACAAAGAACCTGTTCCACTGATGGGGCGGTCAGCCATTCTAGGAGAACAACGAAACAATTATTTCTGTGATGTAGCTTGTGGCCGTGGAGAGTCAGGAGATTCAACCTATGCCATAACAAAATCAGGACTCCTGTGTGAATTCAACAACAGAAGGCTGTTAGACAAATGGGTGGAGCTTAGAGTAAGTTTTGATTACCTCTATTTATACCCCAAAATAGGTTGTGCTGTTGATACAGATTTGATTTGATTTTTCTTTATATGTTACAGACAACCAGTGCCAATTGTATGTCAGTAGGAGAACATTACATTTTTATTGGGTGTGCAGATGGTATAGTAAGATGTTTCAGCCCTTTGACTTTGCAATTCATAACAACTTTACCTCGAACACACTACTTAGGTGTCGATGTGGCCCAAGGTCTTAACATCAGGTATTCTATCTGTTTTCTTCTTGTGAAATATGTATGATCTTGGTTTGGGACATTGTAGACTGACTCTGTGTTTTGGTTACCACAGCCATATGGCTTCTCATCCTAATAATGCCAAATACCCTGATGCAATTGCCCTTGCATATGACAGCCAAAATCAGAAACTCACCTGTGTTTATAATGATCATAGTCTTTATGTTTGGGATGTCAGAGATATTAAACGGGTAAGTTAAATACAGACCTCCCCTGAATTTAAATTTTATTGAAGCTCATCCTAAAATTAAAGCAAAACTCATTAATTTCATTTTTAGGTTGGAAAATCTCATTCCTTTCTCTACCATTCTGCATGTATTTGGGGAGTTGAAATGTATCCAGTTGGGGTTGAAGAAGGCATGCCGCCAGGCTCATTTGTTACCTGCTCTAGTGATGATACGATCCGGTTCTGGAATTTAGACCCAAATACTGACACATCTCAAGATCCTACGTACAAAAGAAATATCTACAGCAATGTAATTCCTTTTGTTAATTTGAACATTTTAGTTTCTTACTACTTTGCAATATTGTCTCCACTACTAAAATTTTCGTTTCTGTTGTAGGAGCTAATGAAAGTTCTGTATGTTGACCCTGAAATGACCTACCTCAAAGATTTAGACTTATCAACTGCTGAAAAGACAGATAGTTCATATGATGGTCGGAATGGAGTGAGATCTATTAGAATAAGTCCTGATGGAAAACATTTAGCTTCTGGAGACAGAGCTGGTAACATCAGAATAAATGAAGTTCGTGGGCTCCCAGAAGTTTGCCGGATAGAAGCTCATGATGCTGAAGTCTTATGCCTTGAATATACTCGTCAAGATAGTGGACACAAACTCTTGGCTTCTGCTTCAAGAGATAGATTGATTCATGTGTTTAGTGTTGAGGAGGACTACAACTTTGTTCAAACACTAGATGATCATTCTTCGTCAATCACAGCTGTGAGATTTTTGAATGCGCATCGACAGCTGCAAATGGTTTCCTGTGGAGCCGATAAATCAATAATCTTTCGGCAACTCACTGGGGTAATTCATCAATTGTGTATAACACAAATAAGCGTTTGGATCTTAACTGCATTTTTGTATTCAATATTTATTTTATTTCCTTTTTACAGTCCCCAGGAGGTAATAACATACAGTTTTCCCGTGGTCACAACGCTGCTGGGAAAACTACATTATATGATATGGAAATTGATTGTGGACAAAAGCATATTTTGACTGCCTGTCAAGACAGGAACATTAGAGTTTACAATGTTACCAATGGAAAGCATTCTAAAACATTTAAAGGATCTGTTGGTGAAGATGGATCTTTAATCAAGGTAAACCTACGATCCACTGAATGCTATGTTTTAAATTTAAAACTAAGATGTTTAAATTAAAAAAATTCTTCTACAGGTTGTTTTAGACCCAAGTGGTATTTTTGTGGCCACTTCATGCACAGACAAAACACTGTGTGTTTATGACTACTACTCAGGTGAATGTATGGCGACCATGCTAGGACACTCAGAGCTAGTGACAGGTCTGAGATTCACTAATGACTGTAAGCGTCTAGTCTCAGCATCTGGAGATGGTTGTATATTTGTGTGGAAAGTGCCCCATGACATGGTGGTTACAATGCATGCAAGGCTAGCACAGCAAGCAGCCAGGGCTGGAAGGTAAGTTCATGATGGTTGTACTGAAACATTCAAACTTTCCTTCCAAATGTTTTTATAAAATAATGAAAATATTGTTTCCCTTTGTTCAGACGAAGCAATAAATTAGTAAATGGAATCCAATTGGACAATGATGGGTTTGGACCTCCACCACCAGAAATGCTCGACCCTAATGCAAATAGTGTTGACCATGCTGATTACCGGTTAGTAGATGCATTATACCGTAGTACACCTAAGTACCTAATTAATTTTCCATATTAGAATGACTTATGTTGAGATCAATATTGCAAATTACTTTCTTAACATTCCAGATTTAGCGTTGGCCAGCTACCCTTATGGGCCAAGAAACAAATCAAAGATGACTTAGGAGATGCAACACACACCAACCTGACAAATAATAGACCCATAGAACCACCAAAAGGACGATGGGCACAGCGCTTAGATGCGACTGGTATAACTGTGAAGTCAGTCTATGACAGCGATTCTGTTATTCCATTTCCTCTTCAACAAGGTAATATAGATTCTAGTGGTTTGGTCTACTTCATTATTTTTCAACTCTGCTTGTTAATATCCAATTCATCTTTATTCTATTAATTTCAGAAAAAAGGGCAGATTCAGATGGCTCCAAAGACAGTTCTATTGACAGTGGTACTGAAATTCGCCATTATTCGGATTTCCGACGGGAAACAATGTTAATCAAAAAGCAGGTATGGAAATACAAATATTTTGATTTAAATTTCAGACAGTTAAATTGTATTGGTGGTCAAATAACAACGTCTACAAGATTTTTGTTTTCATGTCAATTTCACACAACTAAGTCTTAATCAGCAAATGCTTGATCTTGATATCAAATTAAGTTATAAATGTCACTTGCTTTATCATTATTGTGTTTGCAAATTTGTGCTTCTTTTTTGTACTTTGTTGCAATTTGGTGGTTGACTGGTGTTGCACAGCCTGCTAACAATATAATTTTCACAGAGCAATTTCTTACAATATGCTTTATCTGCTTTTTGGTGGTCAGGGTTTGCAGTGTGAACAAAGAGACGAGTTTCTTCCATGTCCAGAGAGTATGCATGAACTTTTAAATGGTGAAGAATCAAAACAGGTTTGTTTTCCATGCTTATAACCAACTTATATTTAAGCTTTTACACATGTATTTCTAGTATTTGTGAGGAAGTGAATTCTTATATGTCAAACAGTTTTTTTGTTTAATTTTGGGCCCTCAACTTTCCTGGAGTGAAAATTATGAACTTTTGGTCTTTTCAGGTCAGTATTGGTAAAGTTACCATGTCAAGAGGGAATGACTTATCAGACCTTCACCGAAATAGACATCATACTGATGACAGCAGCATAGGCAGTTATAAATATGAGGTAATATTTGTGCTGTATACATATTATGAATTATTGAATAAAATTTGAAATGCTCTAACTGATATGTTGCCTTAGGACATGGAAAGCACTGAACATGATGGTGATGTGGAAGACTATTCTGAGGGTGAAGGTGAGTCAACAGAGCCTGAGCACTCTCAAAGACTAATTTATTATCCAGCAGCCGAGGAAACAACAAGGTTAGTCAACCCTCATTAAAGGAAATACTGTAATCTTCTCTTCTGGATCTGAAAAGTTTTTCCTCATAAAAATGTGTATTATCTTTTGCAGTGTTTACACAGTTAATGCAATGGATGTAGAAGAACTGCGTAGATCTCAGCGCCGTTTTCGGAAAAATCAACGACCTGAGCGTCTATCAGATTTGCCGCTTGTTTCACCATCAGGTGTGTCGGGTAGCCAGGACAGCGATGACGATGATGAAGAGGTATCAACTCCGAGTGCTGACACAGCAGAACGCAACCTAATGTCAATGCTATCAGTCAGGTATTAAAGTCGACCCAGTTCTTTTAAACTTTGTAAATCATTTATTTTTAAAATATTTTTTGTGCAACCTATTTTGTTATTTATTATTACAGCTCAGAGAGTCTTGATATAATGGGTCAGCGGGAAAAGTACTTAAAAAATACATTTGACTCACTAAGTGGTGCTGAACAAGACAAAGAACATTATTCTGGTGAGTGTTTTATTCTACTTTCTCATAATGTTGATTATTTTGCATGTCTTTTTCCGAACCACGTCTTCTTTCTGCAGGTAAAAAAAGTATATCTTCGCAATATCATGGGCGTTTGAGTACAACCCCTCGAAATACTGCTGTTATTAATGCAGCATGGCAGTCTCGCACGGAACCTGAAACATCAAGAAAAAGAGAGGAGCTGAAAAAAAGAATAGAAGAAACAAGGAGAAAGTTGCAGAGTGTATGTCTAGATTTTTTCTCCATTCCCTATTACTGGTTGTTATATGATGAGTTTACTATTGTTATTTTTCTTTTGCTTTGCTTTATAGGTCGGTTACAGATCCAATCTGAAGAGCAGTCAAAGTATTCAGGACTTGAGCCGATTCCCAGAAAAGGAAAGAAGAAATGGTGCTCCCCATCGTATGCTACGTCCCCCTGGAATAGGTAAAGATGCCTCTTCTAAGAAGCAAACCAAGCCTGCAAAACCTCCTAAGCCCACAAAATTCCCAAGCAAACCTGCTGGCAAGCCAGCATCCAGAACAACTCCTTTGTTGTCATCTAACCAACCTGCCTCTAATCCCAAACCTACCCACTCTTCTTCTGATACTTCTTCTGTTCCTGCTTCAAAAATTTCCCTTGCTGCTATGACAGCAAATCGTCCTTCTTCACTCAATCTCTCTGGGATGTCTGCAGTCTCTACTAACAAGTTTCGACGTGTTAATCGAGCATTGAATACTAACGTTTTATCTCTTCCGGAATCTCCTGTCTGTGATGACCTTCATTCTCCCACTAACTCTGGTGCTATAACTGATTCAGAGGACACAGGGAAAACTGGACAGAAAACACTGGGTAACAAAAATAGATCATGTACCTTTTATGTAGATTTTAACAGTGTCTCCTTACCATCTGAAATGTTTAGAAGGAAGCCCACAACCAGGTCCACTGAGTCAATTTTAGAGACTCCAGAACCTGAACTGGAAGATGATATGAAAAATGAAGATAAACTTTCAGATGCAGGAAGTTTCAGCTCTGACTCTTTGGAGTCTACCAGTGAGTTTGGAAAGCCTCCCAGAAGATGTGTAAGTGACTATCAAATTTTCAACACATCTGACAACACAGAACTAGACCGTTTCAGGAGTGCAAGTGCGGCAGGTCAGCATGGCCTAGACAGGCAAGTGGGTGAAGTTTTTCTGTCTCAGGAAAGTATTCTGTCTGATGGAAGTCAGTTGTCCTCATCTGCTGATATTCTCCAGATTGATCGCCATAGTAGCGCCAGCTTTTTCCTCAGAAACCGTGAAGCTTGTAGATCATCAGAGAGCATCTTAACAGATGAAAGTGACTATCAGTTCCTGTTTCAAGGCATTGGATCTCGCCAACTTCGTGACTCTCGGAGCAATGCTCAAAGCACAGAGAGTATTCTTACTGATGACAGTGAAATGCAAATGCCAACATTTTCTGGTACAAGCAGCAGACGAATGCCAACTTATGAAGATAGTGGATTTGAAACGGCAAGTCAAGGATTCATTGGTAATGAAAATGTTCCCAGAGGAGTGTTCAGAACAAGGAGTTTGCACGACACAAGGTCATCTCGCTTTGGTCCTGGTAGAGAACGAGCTGGGTCTCCGATGGTTCCAGATGGTGCTATGCTTGATTCCTTAGAACCTGTTGAGTTTTCTGGAACTTTACAAGCACCAACTGGAGCATATTCTCAGCCAACTTCTCCACCTCCACTGTATCGTTCAGTGTCTTTGAAAGCCAAGCCTCAGTCATTTTTCATACCTCTTGATAGTGGAAGTGGCACAGATGGGGACTCTGGTAATAGAAGACTAAGTTTCCCACTTAGTGAAAGGAAACCTCCTGTGAGCCGACCACCTACAGCCCCTAAACCTGAAATTAAAGTGAAGCCTGTAATTGCCCACAAACCACCTAAACCAAGGCTGAAAATGGGAACCATACCAGGTCCTGGAAGAAGCCATCTGAAGGCCCTACAGCAATCTAGTGGGAAGCAGGAAGATAAAGGAAAGTCTGCGGCCATGGTCAAGGGTTTGCCCCGTGAATTGATGAGTGGTAGTGCCACATGGACAAAATCTAAAACCCCTGCCAAGCACATTCGCGGAATAGAAGTTAAAGCAGTGGCTCCTAAAGATACAGTACGAACCTCTAAAAATTCTGATCAATTTTTTGAAAAGGCAGAGAGGGCAACTGTAAGTCCTGATAGCAGCAACAGTGATGATATTGGTAGTAACTCATCAAAACCCATGAAAGATGCAGAAAAGTGTCAGGTCACTAACGAGACAATTTCATCTGTTGCCAAGGAAATTTCAGAGTGCTATGGTAATAGCAAAGGAAGTGAAAGCTTGGAGGTTAAAGGACCTAGCTCTGAGGACACTGGCAGTAATACACTGCAACAAACTGTTTCCCATGTGAAATTACTTTCAAAAAAATTTGAATCCAGTGCTTTACCAAAGCCGAAAGCTTGGCCCAAGCACATGAGCAGGTCACCTTCTGTACCATGCCAGGGAGATACTGATACAACAATATCAATGTCCTTTTCTCGCAGTGAGGATGGTCTTTCCGATTGTAATGATGATAGCCTAGCTGTTGTTAATTGGGACTCTGGATCCTCTACACCTGCTACATCCTCCTCTTGTGCAAACTCTCCTAAACGTTTGTGGCCTCGTCCTGTGGGATTATCTATTCCAGGGCACACACCAACACCAGCTGCATCTAATCAGCTGGCAAAGCGCCTAGCCCTTCGACAACACAATCACCACCAATTGTTGCCTTCCAAATGTGTTTCAGGTACAGCACAGATTGTTATAAAGACTGACCATTTGTTAGCCTGTGTTGCACAAACGCATTTTTCAGTTATTAGTTGATGTTTTGTCTTGAAGGTGTTGCATGTACTCAGAAGTTTGCATGCTGCTACTAAGTTCAGACTATTCGCCTTCCCCCTGTACTCTCTGAATCAGTCCTTTACTCTTTCTCACTTCCTTGTCATTCTAAATCCAACCTCATTATTGTTTTTTTAAAAGTTACCCTTATGAAGGTTTTGCATTGGTTTGTTTCTTTATTGAACTTCCCTAATTAATTTTTTCTTTTTTTGTCTTTTTTCTTTTTCTTTTTCTTTTTATTATTTATACACATGTTTTGTTTTTTTTTCCTCCCACAGCTCATTATAAATACACACCAGTTCTTCCAGGTAGCCCATCAGACTCTTTCTCTATGTGCAGCTTTTGTTTGTCTGGAAACACATGCTAATGTTTTGATTTTTAGCTTTATGCTGACTCACTAAGAAAGTTATCACACTGATGGCAAAACTACACTTTTTACCCATTTTTAACTTCAATTACAAATTTCCCAACCATTCTGGTTTCATTCAAAAGTGTAAAAAATAAATAGAGCAGTATGCTTTTTATTTTGTTCTATGTAATGTTTCTGTGTAGCTAGTACTCAGAACACCACGCTTGTCAGCTTTCACTGCAGATTTTTATTTTATTTCCTATTTAGATTTTTAGAATTTATGATTTGTTTTTCACTGTTGTTTTTATTGTGTTTTACAGTGTGTTTTTAAAGCTTTGTTGGTTGCTTTTCTCAAAAGTCTGACTAATTTCTCTCTCTCTCTCTCTCCATGCGAAAGAAAAGTTAGGAAACTGGGGTGCGCTTTACATCAAATGAATTTGGCGGAGCAAATCTATTGCACTGAGAGAAATTTTCAGATGATGAGAACTTATAATTGTGTTGTTTTTATGCATGTGTATTGATATCTGAAATTCGCCTAACAGCTGTGGACAGTGATGATGGTGGCACTGAGCCTGGAGGTGCTATACGTCGAGCCTGTTCCCTCAGCGATCTTGCCAATCCCTCACCCCGAAGAACACCTGTCCAAGGTACCCATCCTTTAAATGAATACACCAACAGACAACTAGCTCAGAAATAAAATTATTGGAACTTAGATTTAATGTCAAATGAAAAGGTGTATGTTATGTAATTCTGTGAGCCAAGTAACAATAGTATTCACAAGAATTATGAGTTCTTTCCCTCAGATTAATCACAATTTGTTGACTTATGCAGACTCTGGCAAAACAAATGTGTACTGTAAATTTCAATCCTAGATTTCATCGAAACTTCAGCATTTCATGTTAACAATGTAGCTTTTGCGATGTAGTAGTGTAACTATTTGCGCATGTTCACGGTTTGTTTTTAGTCAACCCCACTGTGAACTAGACTGTATTTAGTTTATTATCTGTTCTGAAAGTTTGTTATGGTAGACAATAGACATTAGGTTCTCTAAAAATGGAGAAGTAGCTCAGGCATTTAATTATATATCACAGTTTAATGTTATTTTTTCATTTTTCAAAATCTTTCAGTAGAGTTGGTCATATAATTTTGTATTTTAGTTTCAGGTAAAGTCTCGAACCACAAACCAAGCAGTGCAAGTCGTACTCTTCCTCGACCAGGATTTAAGACTGGATCAGCTATGACAAGGAGTAGTTCAGTTGGCGTTTTGAATCAGGTCTAGTACTAAAAAAATAAACTAGAAATATTTGTTCAATATTGCATATTATTAATACTTTATGATGATTATTGTTATTAATTACTCTTATCCTCTTAAAAACTACAGAGTGATTCAGAGAGTGATTTGAGTTTGAGCCACCATCCAACGCCTGCAACTCGTATGAATGGACTTATGCGACCCACCATATCTTCTCAAAACAAAATGACCAGCGGAGTTGGAGGGAAAGGACGAATGCCAGCAAAGCGTGGTCTGTCAGGAGCTTTCTCCAGCAGTAAGTTCTTACTCTAGATTAGTATTCACCTCCCTCAACACATAAGGTGCGGTGGGTCTTGGCAATCTTATTTTATTAGGACCCACAATGTAATGGGTCAAGCCGCACTCAACGTGTTAAATGGTAAATTTAGATTTGAATTACAGTATTAACTGGTTTCTTATTGTGTTTCAGTGAACCTTAGTCAAGTTGGAAACAATGAGGATTCAAGTTCTGAGGAGATATCATCTGTAGGAAAGCCAAGACAAAGAAGTTCAAGCATAGATAGGTCTTCTGGGTACGAACTTCTTCTCACCTGTACATTGGTTTTCAAAAGTAATTTTAACTTTAATTGATCATCCAGATTAATCTAACTTTGAATTGGTTTTCTCCAGCGCTCCAATGAGCCTTCCACCCGGTGGTCACAGCGCTGTACCTCATCGAAGAACAATGACTTCGGTTCCCATAAACAGGTTTGGAGGGGAGCGTGATCTTGTAGCACCTGTTCCACCTCCTCGCCCAACTCGTCTAAGAACCTCTTCTAGTAATCCCACCAATCTATCACACCAACTAGACCCATCCCCTCAAGAGTTACCAGTCAAGGACACAGACAGTGGTGTTGACCTAGCTAGTGCTCCTTGTAAGTATAATTATTCTACATTAAACTCTACAGAATTCTATTAGCATTGTTTATATTGTGATGTCTTTTTCAACAGTGTCCCACGAACTGATTTCTTCAATTACTGACCAACTCATGCGCACAGCAGACACTGTTGTACAACTGCACAAGAGACTTGCAATGGAAAGCACAGAGCGTAACAGTCAAGATCCTCTTCTTCAAGGATTGGAAGGAGCAGTTGGAGAAGCACAACGCACTTTACGACTTATTGCTGGTGGTGCAACAAATGGGATGCCAGTTACAAACGGCTCACCATCTTCTGATCCTGCTCTCGCCAACAAGCTGCAAGATTTAGTTGCAACAGGGGGAAGTGGCAGTGCTGTCACAATGATGCAGCAGTACTCTGATCTCCTGCTGTCCTTGGTTCAACAACGGGTTTCAGCACCAGCCTCAGCAAATCCTGGACAGTCACCCACCTCACCATCACAAGCAGAGGCTTCTGCACAGCCTGCCACTGACTGAAATTGGTGCCATTACTAATGTATTCATATTAATACATTGAATTTGTGGTTTATGAATAGTGAAAAATTACATTATTATGTGGAGTGGAGCACTTAAATCAGTGCAATTTGCATTGTGCCAAATACTTGCTCTGATAAATGTGATGATTATTTCTCTAGTTTAACTTAGTTAAACTGCTCCAATAATTTATTCAGTGCCAGTGAAGAACCCATTGGACTATACAAGAAGTGGTCTCAATTAAGGCCTTGTGATACTAATAAGCAGCGTCTCGCTGGCGAGGCATCCTGGCTGCTACATGAATTTTCTTTGAAGTGCCTCTTTAAAACGAAGGAATTAAGATTCCCGTTATGTGTGATCATAATTATGTTGTTATACAATCCTTCCCGCTACAGGCATGTGTAACTTCTGATCACTGCTCTGTTATTTAATTCCTGTTAGTCTTCAAATTTTCATCTTAAATTTTGTATTGCACTTCAACTTACAAAAAGTCTTGCAAGTGCTTTTGCCTGTTTTGTTAAAATCAAGTTCTTTGTTTGAAACTTACCTTTGTTTCTTTGCTGAAGTGGTTAAATGTTTTTGACTTGTTAACCACTCTAACACAAAGTTTGGAAAATTTTACCTAATAGTAAATTTTTAACTCCAAATATTTCCTTGTTGTTTGTGTTTTGTTGATTTATCACCAAATGAAGGAAACTTTCTTCATCTCATTGTACCTCTTAGCCATTGATTGGTCTATTTGTCTTTCCTATCAAGGTGTAACATACAAAGTAACACATACATGTATGTATATGGTATTCCAAAGCATTTCTGCGTACTGAGATTAGGCAGTTCTTATTACGGTTACATGTATTCCTTATTTGAAAATAATAAAATAATTCTCTAACCTTTACTCTTAACTATTGTATTTGTGGCGCTAGACTCAAGTCAGTTAAGTCTGCTAAGGATAGCTTTAATTAGAGTGTTTAAGGTTTCTATCAATCCAATAAAATGTGACAGGAATCACTTTATTAAGATAATAGGAAAGTATTATGCCCTCTTTGTCAAAAGAATTTTTTACAACTCTATCAAACCTTTCAAAATTACCCAGTTTTTTTTTTATTTTTCAGTAAGTTTTGAAAGTTTGTTTGTCGTTTTCATGTTCATTTCCTGTTTGTTAAAATTGATTTTATTAATAACTTGTTCTGTTAAGGGTAACATAAATAAGCACAGTAAGATGATTTGTTGGAGTCCTGTCAATTTGAGCAGTTAATGTGATGTCCATTGCCAATAGCCATGAATGGTTGCCAATTTTATTATTAATATATTGTTTATAATTTATATAATTGTAGAGTAATAGTGCTCCATTACAATCAGCTGGTATGAATGACTTTTAGTGTTCTTCAATATTATTTCCTGATCATAATCATTTCAAAATGGAACGATTATTTTGTTTAATACAATTTTCCTGTAATACTCTAAAGGGGTACAGGTTCTGAATTGCTGTGATGGAAATTTTTATTTAAAAAAAATCAACACCAGTAAGCTTTAATGCCCTTCATTCTGAATGGTTGTTGCATGCATATATACAGTGTGTAAGTACAACCTGTGTGGTGCTGTAGTGGTGAGCAAGCAAAAGATTGTTATAACCCTAAGTTAAATGCCCACCTACCCACTTCTTGATGCCTTCAAATGTTTTTTCTTCACTTAAATTCCAAATTTTTTGTTTGAAACATTTATTGATTTAACCTGAACTGCCCGAATGGAGATCAGAATCTCTTTAAACAGTCATTCCATGCTCAGCTGAGCTGTGTTAAACGCATGTCATGGAGCAAGTCAAAAGTCTGTGTACATAATCTAGGCTCTTTTTATATTTAATTAATTACTATACATAAATGTATATATTTCTGTGAATAGCTCAGTTGTACAATTACTCAACACTGGTTGATTTAAATTTATGCAATGTATTTGCGTCTGGTTAATTCAGGGTTTTCATTATTCAACCCGACTTTCTGCTCGATGTGCCTTGTGAGCAGACATGACTTGAAAATGGATATAAAATTTACAAATTCCTTATAATTGTTTTTTTTTTTGTGTGTGTGAAATTGGGAGACAGTTGCACTGCAACTTCCACATACTATGTCTAATGTAGTTGGCATACAACAAATTTTAGTTGCATGAGTTGATTTAAGGCCCCTACATTCTAAAAGTGTTTTCTGGATTTTAGTATTTTTTTGTTCTTTATGGATTTCCTGAGGACAGCTTTTAGTCCAGTAAAATAAACAAATCATGACTGACATAAACCTGTCATATTTGTGTATACCGGTATGTACATTCCCAACTTCCCATGTAACATCACCTGTCCGGGAGAATACGAGGCAGCTCGATGGGTTGCCTACGCACTGGCGTGCAGGCGCGGAAGAGGTGGCAACCGGCGCGACGGCCGCCTCTACGCCCCTGTGTGTAGCAACACAGTTGTAGCTACAGCCGACACGGCCACAGGCAGCTTCATCAGAACCGACTGTAGAAATAAGTCCGCTCGGCGTCGTAAATGCTGATGCCCCCCCAGCCGAGCGCGAAAAATACCACCGGGTCGGGATTCGAACCAGCGCAGCCAGTAGGTTCAGGGTTCACGCCGGGCCTGAACGCTGCCGACTTAGAGTCGAACCCCAGACAGTTTCAGACTGGTCACAATTGAGCAACCTCAGCTCCCACAGAAGTGAAGGAGATAAAATATATATCTGCATCTCGGGCGAACAGTTTGACACAAGCATGATTTAGCGCGCTCGGCCGCCCGCCCGTCTTACCGACTGCGCGTTCAAAGTCGGTCCTGTATTACGGGAGACAAGGAGCGACGCCAGTCAGCGACAGCGTAGAATGATTCGTTCCCTGGAGCGCTATCAGAACAGAGACCACAGTTCGCTAACTACTGCGGTGAGATGAGAAAAGTACTTCCAAAACAAATTGGGCACCCGTCGTTCCTGTTAAAGCGGGTAGGCGACAACCCTGGTCAACAGTTGGTCGGATCTAAAAGTCTGGCTGCTGGCGTGGACACACCGGATCCCATCCGAACTCCGAAGTTAAGCACGCGGGGCCCCGTGTAAAAGCGGGGTAGGTACTCCCTCTTTTTCACATTCTTTGAAAAATAGTATGGTCCTAAACGGCGCCTCTATAGTCTGTTCGGAATTCGCTTGATGGTGCGCACCTCCACCGCTCCCCCCTCGCCCTGCGCGCCTGCACGCTAGTGCGTAGGCAACCCATCGAGCTGCCGCGTATTCTTGGACACCCGGTACGACTGCACTGATAAAACCACTACAGTTCTGTATAACGGGGCCTTAAATGGCGAAGACACGTGACTTTTTAAGTCGTTCCTAGTTTATTATCCTGATCATTTCACTATTGTCACATGGCACTTCCCTGGTGTTGCCGCCCGGAGCCACACAACGATGCACGGGACGGGAAGCATCCCCAAAGGATCACATCCTGGACAAGCGAGACGGGATTGCCTACCCCAGGGAAGAATCACATCCCGCGACCACGATATGTCGGTGAGTGTGCCGTTGCCGTAATTATTGCTCTCCCCCTTCTTTGCCCCCCTACTCCTCTCCTCCTCCCCACCCCGCAATGGAAACGTAAACGTAAACAAACATTGAAAATCGGTGTCACGATCGGCGTTTCTGCCAAATACCGATAATACGTACTCATATAATTATTGATCATAGGATTTTAACCAGAATTTTAGAGTAGACATCTGCGCTTTTCGATATTAATCGCAAGGTATAGTGCTTACTTGTTTCCGGTCTGGAATATTGAATTGTTCCATTCCGGTTATTGTTGTAGGAGGTTATGCTCCTGTGGCCCAATTTTTACACGCACAATTAAGTTGTAAGTTATTTTTTGAGGCCGAGTAAATGATGCCCGTGATGTAAATAACTTGGCTCACTGTCAGCTTTGTTGAAAAGGTGTTGGATGGGTAGACTCCTCCAATACCATGCAGTATGTTAAATACTGTTGTATAGGTCCTTATGCAAATGGGTGAACCTGCCAGTGTTTTATCACATATCATATATTTTACTCGATATTATTTTCGTGGAACAGCAAACTTTATTACTTTCTGGTTGGGGTGCAAACCGAGTGGTACTATTTGCGTAATCCCCCAAACAATCAATCAATGTGCGTTGCAGATAATTTGCAGCTGCCCCTTTGTACTTAATGATTAATCCAGTGCTAAAATTAGTTATTTCAAAGACCACAGTCATTTAGAGACGCATGGGGGGAGAGGCATTTAAAAGTGTATTGAATTAGTAGATTACATGTAATTAAAAGTTGGTGAGCGTTAAAAGTTCTGTTTAATATGATTGCAGGAACTCGGCCCAGAAACGTTCTTGACATAGCAAGAGAAGTCTATGGAGTCATTTTACCCAAAAGAATAGGTGAGTTGACATGACAGTAACCACCAACGCTGGTCCAATTTGTCTCTGTACAGACACTAAAAGGAGCTTCCTTTTCCTCCCTTTTCACATGCTCTGTCAAAATATCATGGTGCCAACCCACTACAGCAGAGTTCTTAGCCATCCACCCTTAGTTAGAGAGACCAGCTCTTATAAAACTCAAGTTTCTGTGGACAGGGGTGGTTTCTGGTGGAACCAAAAGTAGTTTTGTGGTTCCCTGGTTCCCCCCTGTCGGTTCGACCACTTTTCCGTCGAAATCCGGACCCATCAATTTTCGCTAAAAATAGGAAGGCTATAGCCTTTGTAAATTTGGCCAAAAATGAAAAATTTAAAAATCGCTCGAAATGGTTGGGATTGGTCCGACAGCATACTCTTTCAATCTCTCCGTCGAAATTTCACGCCGCCGGGCCATTT